GTAGATGGTTTTTTAAGCCGAAAAATTGCTTAGATTATTAAATTTCTCCGAGTCAGAACTCAAGATATCAAATGTTTAACTTAAAAATATGGAAAGTTTTGATTCAGTTGTCCACTTTAATTAAATAAGCTATGGAGTGCCTTGTATCGCCGCTAAGGTTTATTTCTTTGTCATGCTGTGTGGTACATATGGCGACGGGTAGTTATTAACCTCATACGAAAATAGACACGTGGTCAAATGTTGAAATGACGATGACGAAAATGACCACGCCTTTTGTGACTATTTCTTTTCCAGCTCAGAAAGGGGAGAAAAAGACCATTGGCAGCCCAAGGTTACAACAACTTGCAGACTTGGTACAACAAGCTCTGGGTCTTACTCCACAACAGACCTTCCAAATTTACGGCTATGGCTGTTGGTGCGGCATTGGTGGGATGGGAAGAACCGTGGATAAGTTTGATTTGTAAGTTAAGGGAGAAGAATGTTGAAGGGGACTCGCAATACACCTTCGAAACGTCGCAATTTATACCCCAAATGACTCGGTACATCGTGAAACAAAAAACAGAATTTGATTACTATTGTCGTTCATCAAGATTATCAACCACAACCTTTATGTCTTTTCACAGTATCGTTCGATTCCTATTCAACATTCTTACTTTCCTTTTCCAATTCCTTCTTCCTTTTTACTCAGAAAACGAAGTTGTTTTCTGTGTTTCGGCAATCATTCCTTCCTTCGTCTCCTGTTAACTTTTAGTGAATCTTCTGACCAGTACATATGGGTTTCACAATCGCTTTTGTGCTGTAGTCAATTTCTTGGGTGTATGTCTGTATGTGTGTGTGTGTGTGCGTTTTTAATAACTTTAGGCACTCACTGGTCAACTTGTTCAATGGAAGTTAAAGAGGAAGTTCTATTTTTTCTTTTAACTTCAGTTGTTGTAAAGCCCACGATTTTTGCGAGCTTAACTTAGTTAAACCGGATAAATGTGGTGGTAACTTCCGCAATATTGATCAGAGATTCGAGTACGACGCAGCTACTGACACTTGCAGTAAGTATTATCAATTTTTTTGTGCATAATATCTTCGTTAAGTTTTGTCGTTGTGTGTATCGTATTGCCAAAGTTCTTGGCGTCTACGTTTCCTCACAGTCATCTGTTTCGTCTCGGTCACGTTGTACAATAAGTATTGACCATGAAAGCACGGGCGAAAATCTCCGAACAATTCTTAATGGCGAGAACGGGTCAAACGTCGCGCATGCACACACGGAGGCCAATTTTGGTCTGTTTCGCGCCAATTTCCCGCTTAAAAGAAGGAAAATTCAAGAAACATCTGTACCGTAAAATATGCTAAAAAACAATATAACGTTCATAGAAATCTGTACAACAAAGTGTTTTATTTCATACATACTGAGATTTACACCATGAAGTACTATTTTTCGTGTCTCTGATTGGACGAACGATGTATTTTCACAGTCGTTTGCTTCTAATCCTTGAAACGTGTCGATTAGAGAGAGAAAATCTCAGTATGTATGAAATAAAAACATCATACCATGGAAAAAGCTTCAACGATTTTTATTCACGAGTTACGATGCATCAAAAAAGTCACTCGTTCGCTGCGTTCACTCGTTCGTTTTTTTGACGCATAGCAACTCGTGAATAGAGATCGTTCAAGCACTTTGCACATATTAATCTCTATATCCCCTGCCCCTTTAAGAAAGGGAAAAGGAAAAATCGAGACTTTTCGAAGACGTAAATTATGTGAGGGTTTTATCAAACCAGTTTTACGATTTGGACTTACCATCACTTACCGGCATGAGTGGTTGTTTATAGCAGTTGTGCGACAATTTTGTTCTGACAGCCTGAAAGAATGCCACTTAGCCAGTACAACGTTCGTGCATGCGCAGACCGTTGATCGCTGTGTTATTAGAAAGGCCTTGGTCCAATAGCTGGTGGGCATGTCCGGACTTTCGGCCTGTTTTGGGTTACGGGTTTCTATTTTATAGCTCCGAGACCCTCACTTCGAAAACTGAACTACGTCCAACACTCTTCCCGTGAGAATGAGTTTTGTGTAAGAATAAAAAATTATTCTCAAACAAAGGCTCCGCGGAGCCGTTGAGTACCTCGGATGATGATGATTATATTCCATTCTTTTTCTTTTTTAGCTCCCGCGAGTGAATATAATTCAAATGATCCAGAAGTGGGGAAGTGTGGTTATGCCGCGTGTCTTTGCGATTCAGAGCTACTCCGGTGCTTTAAACGATTTAGGAACGTCCTTGACTTAAATACTTATGCCGGATGGAGGGCAAATAATCCAAGAGACTGCCCTATTCCATGTAAATTTTAAACGATACTTAAGAAACATATTTCAATTATTCAGTGGCAAGCGGGAATCTTAATTTCTGATCAGAAGTTGTACTCAAAAGCTCCCAAATTCCGCCAGATATTGCCTCAGTCAGCGAAAGTCACATAATTTCAAGATGCATGCGAGATTCGCCTTGTGAAAGACACGCCCTTTATTTCCGTCTTTGAAGGGGTGATGAGGGAAGCAGAAGGAGAGAGCAACGATTGAATCACGTGCGAGAGGAGGAATGCACATACAAAAAAACGACATGTCGTTTTCCCGCGCTCCTATACATGCACGTATCTCGCCACTATAGCTTTCCCCGCAAACGGGAGTGATCTCAGTGAAAATAACTCGAAGAGCGGTTATTTTGGGAATATGGGGAATCTCCTCTCTTGATTTAATCCTCTCTTGTTCTGCTCATAATTTCAGCTGGTGGCTTATGCAAGACCAAGGCAGATGTTATCGTCTTGATCCAAGACAGCCGGAGCATT